ACTTTTTGGCTTCTATTCAAAAGAAAACGTTCATTTTAAAGGAAACAAGTTACTGCTAGAAAGGTTAGAAATTTAAATCTGAACACAGTAATCAGGTACAAGTACATTTTGACCTTTTGTAGTTTGATTAATAAATTATCTGTCGTCCGCTGACTGTAATTCTTCCTCAGCATGTGGCCAAAGAGCTGGAGCAGCTGCTGCAGTGGCTGATGGGAGCTCCTGCGGGGCTGAAGATGAACCGGGCCCTGGACCAGGTTCTGGGCCGCTTCTTCCTCTACCACATTCACCTCTGGATCAGTGAGTACAAAGGGAACACACACACACACACACACACAGAGCTGTATATTGATTACTGATATTCTCTGTTTCTATCTGACCACTTTCATGCTCCACACAACTGAAATTTACTTTTCTTTTCACACTGTATTTAGTGTTTGGACACAAAATGGTTCTTAAAATGATATAGAATATATAGACAGGAGCCTGTTGCATGTGTGTACTGAAAATAATACAAATCCCTCCATTTTTATTGCTTATTTTAAGGCAAAAGAGCCCAAAGACTAAATATAGTCTGATAGGAAATTGGTTGTTAGTTTAAAAACAACAAGGAGCACAAACAAGTATTTGGTATCTATGATCTCATAACAAGTTGGATGTCATATATATGCACACATATGCAGTATTTCTAAATGTGATGTGGTAAAAAAACATTTAATAAACACGACTTTAGTCTTTTTCTATTTGTATTGTTAGATAATCGCCCAAAGTATGTCCGGACCAAATTTCAAGACTTTAAACCAACCAGAACAAATGTTATGTCCATTATCATATTAAATACAGTCTTGGATTAAATGCTAGTGGCTCTGAGAGGATTCAGAGATCAATAAACTCTTCTCTGGTCTGACGTTCACCTCGTTGTATGATCTCTCCATCCAGGCTACATCCACCTGATGTCCCCCTTCATCGAGGGGATCCTGTGGTACGGAGGCCTGTCAGCCTGCCTGGGCCTGACCTTTGCCCTCTCGCTGCTCTCTGACATGGTCGCCCTGCTCACCTTCCACATCTACTGTTTCTACGTGTACGGAGCCAGGTGAGGAACTCGACACGGGTTCAGTTGTTTCCCTCAAACAGCAAACCTCCTGCAGGACGTTTTCTGTATTTTGCTGTTAAAGTGGATCTAAAACAAACTAACAGTGAAGGAGTTTGTTCTTCTTGCAGCTGTTCAGTCTTTAACATCCTCACTGTGTGCGCTCTGGGTGACGTCACTACTTTACGTTATGTTACGTGCAGAACGTGGAGACGATGTCGCCAGCCGATTGGTGTGAAGGAGAGGAGCGGCTATAAGATATAAATATAAATGAGCACATCTCAAAAACCAAAAGAATAGTTCGAATAACTTCTGGAGAAATATTTTGTTCCTGTTTCTACATTTACAAAACTTTTGAGTCACTTTGTCTTTGGTCTTAATTCAGTAAAGTGTTTGTATTTTTTAAATGTAATGTTTTATGTTTTAGTGACGTATATAACCTTGTAGCTGAGGTTGTACAGATGTAAGCAGTGGCAAACACTTTCTTTTGAGTTCAGAAGGTTAAATAGTCATTCAAAGTGACCAAATTCAACAGAAACAAAATAAAACTTTGTCTTTGCACTGTTCCAACAACAATCAGCAACTCTGGTTTGGTTGAAGTAAACCTTGAAGTCCGTCAGATGTGGAATTTGTGTGAGATGTTCCTGTTGATTGCCTGCAGGGGGCGTATGTTTCCTACATTTGTCTTCCTCTGTTGCTGCAGTAAAGAGACTTTAATCACAGTTCCTTATTGACCCGTACATTAGAGTCTCGGTTTAACCTTTCTGAATGCCACTGCGGGGGTTGAGTGCCTCCATCTGCACCAGGAGAGCAACAGTGCAAAATGCAACATGATCATCCTTTTTGTTTTTGATTATTTTTCCTGTGTGCGGTTAGAGGTTAAAGGTTCAGGAGAGCTCAAAAAACATTAGGAAGCATTTCTACTGGTGAAGATAAACTGAATATCAGTGAATATAACCAGCAGTTGTTGAGATATCTTTCTCTGCAACACAGTGATGGACCAACTTTATGCCTGTTGTTTGAGCCCTGATGTTAAGTGGAGCTATTAATGATAACATAAATAATCATTAAAGTAATGCTCATGAATTATAGTTTAGACCTGATCAGTGGAAGTAACTGACAGAACAGAAAACAGAAAACAGACCTTATGATGAACCGAAGAATAAACAGCCACGACATCCAAATGCTGCGTAAAGCAAACATTAAGAGAGCGACATTGTTATTATTATTCCTTCAATTATAACTGGTCCAACGACTCATAACTCACCCGAATCCGACTTGCAGAACAGGATGTTTTGTTTTTTACGTCACTGTTGCATAACTGGGTCAGAGCGCTTGTATAAAATAATTTAGTGCTCCCTGTTGTTTCCTTCAGTCTGCTGCCGTTGGTACACACTCAAACCAGTACAGCCACTGCTAATGGTGGAATATAAGAGTATGAACACGACCCGCTTCATATTGGACCTAATGAAAATGTTACCAGGTCACTGGATCCTTCTGAAGCTTGTTCATATTTTCATGTTTGTTTTTTCCTCTGATTTTTCTTCTAGCGCCACCATGAGGTAGAAATCTGTTTTAAAGCTCCAGTGTGTAACATTACTGTAATATAATGTTCATAGGTATGTTTTCATTCGTGTATAATCAGCTTTGATTGAGACATTTTTATATACAGAGGGGGCGGGTCCCTTTTCTAGTGGCGGAGTCCGCCATGTTTCTACAGGACAAACCAAACACTGACTCCTGATAGGAACCTTTTCCAAGTTTCATGACCACTGTAGTTTCTCCTACACGCTTGAAAGGCGAGTGGTGTTGTTTGTATGTAGTGTGTATGTAGTGAGCAAAGATGGATGGATAAATATTCTGTAGTTCTGATCTAAACAGATCTCACTGACATTATTATTGTTAACAAAAACAAACAACAGTTCTGAATCTTTAAATGTTCATTTATTTTTTCATTTATCAAGAAACTTCATACTAAACATCAAACAAACTTTATACAACACAAACACTTTAAAATAAATCATGAATAATACCAACCGCTAATTTATCTGCTGTAATTTATAATAATATAAATTTCCCTTTTATTAGACGATAATTTGTCTGTCTGCAGCAAAGAAATCATCTGTGGTGAGAACGGCCACGAAAGTGAGTCCCATAAGCGCCGACCACCATTGTGGTTTTGATTTGGCATCTCAAAGTGATGACTCAGTATCACACAAGTCATTATTCTGAGATGCTATGACAATATTTTATTAAAGTTTCTCATTCTAATGACTTACAGAGTCTTTTTTTTTCTTGTCACATTGGTGGAAAAGTCAAAAGGGCTTCCACAGCAGACAAACATGATAAATGATAAAGGATAAAAGTGTTTTAAAGATTAGGACTCACAAAGAGAGAGCAAATGCAAAAACCTGCCGAACTTATAGCTGATATTTACCACCTCGTTCTACATCTGTAATCCTGCTGACAGACAAATTAAAAACTCAACCTCCTTGTTGGAGGTAATCAGAAATGTTGGACTCTGAATATAGTTTCAGCTACGTCACTGGTTCCTCCTGTCGTATTGTTTGTTGATCTTCTTTGACAACATGTTGGGGCATGTCCTCACATCTAACATATAATTAAAGGCTGAGTCTCTGGCCTCCCTCTGATGTCCATTCAGATTGATTTAAAGCAGGAGGACTAATGGCTGTAGAGGCCGATGCGTGGTGTGATAGAAGCCACTGAACACTGTGATAATAGTCTCGGATGCTGGAGGAGAGAGAGGTTTGACTAAATTATGCATTTGCTCTAAAGATAGCTTGGCTCCCTTGCCCCTGGTGCATAATAAAATATTACCCACTTTTCCTTGTTACATATTTATGCTCCAGCAGCTCTTGGAATATGTGTTTAAATTCAGTTTGGGAACCTTTTGTCGAAGTAAGTTATTAAATCTGTATGCCCGGACCTAAAAATATCTCCCCCGCTGCGATCACAGTCCACTTTCTGCTCCGGAGAGGATGAATCAAACCTTTCTTCGTATTCAGAATTAGCTTCAGGAGGCTTCTCTGTCTTTAGGATCTTTCGGAGGGATAATATAAGACATTTTAGAGGGTATTAATTAACCCCCCCTCAGTCTTCTTTAAAACGAAACCATATAGGATTACAGTAGAATCTGAGATAGTTCTGTTTCCCTTTTCTGTCTGAGACGAAGACCAGGTGAGATACATATTCTCTTCCAATCAATAGCCTGTCAATAATCTTCCTGCAAAATCTGCATATCACACTGCAGTAACAGAGTCATTTCTATGTATGAAGTGAGAGCACTTCCACCATTAAGACTCTGTTGGATCTGAACTTTTGGGTGTGTTGGCAGAGGATGATTCCCCATATGAACGCATGGC